TGAATTCTTCCTTGTGCTTTGGCTTCTCTGCGCTCCAGTGCAATTTTCAGAGTCTCTTCTGACATCCATTTTGGTCTTCGCTTCCTCTTCTGTCTTTGCAATGACCGTTTGCACTCTTCCTGGATGATACCCTTAATATCCTCCTACAACTCATCTGGCCTTCGCTCATTAGTGTTCAAAACCTCAAACCTGCTCCTGAGATGGTTCTGAAATTTGGATTTGACGTGACCTGGTATTGTAGAATGACACATAATTGTCGTAAGCATCTTAAACAAGCTTTATGCTTTACAAGTGGATGCCCGTTTGTTGAGGGGTTTGATTGTCTGGTCCTCCATCCACATCATTAGCACTTTCTCCCCATCTGATATAGGCTGCTCTCACATTTCAGTAGCTTTGCAGTTTTCAGTGGTGCAAATCCTTTAATAGTTTGGACATTTTTTTGCTTTTGAGGCTAACTATCAGATGCAACATGCCCAAATCATGAGGAACAGTGTTAATTGTCAACTGCAACATGCCTAAATCATGCGGAACAGTGTTAAGATTTTCCACCTTTATATTCACTAACCATTTTCTTCCAAATTGATAGCATTCCTTTGCCTTTTGTCCTATTATAAATAGCAATGGTTTTTCTGTTTTTCAAAGAAAATGGGTAACTCTTTAAGATGCAACTGATGTGCTGTACATGAAACTGGATGCTACTGCATATAAGTCAAAGTGTACACTGTTATACAGTAACCCTTTTAGGTTTTTGTGTACCGTCAAATTGGAACCGACTGACAGCTGACCCTCCAGCAGGTTTTCAGAGGCAATAAATCACATATGAGGAGATCACTCATCCTCCTCCTTCAAAGCAACTGGTGGATACCAACTGTGTGCCTTTGGGATTGCAGCACAGCTTACTAGTAGGCAACCAGGGCTTCTTAAGCCTTTTATGACCGTACATTAGTGTTCATTATGACTATCAAAAATCTTCAAGTACTCAAGTGGTGACTACATAGTAGTGGTAAAAGGACTTCACCTTAAAATGCTTATATAGTAATTCCACTACACAAAGAAATATACTGGTATTTTAGTAATCTATGAATTTAGGTAATCATTTATTCAGTTAATTTTCTCTAACTTAGAATCTTTACATCTTACATGATTTTTTTTCCTACTGCTACACGAGGAAGTTGTAGTTTCTCCACAAAGTTCTCATGAACTGGATTCTCTGATTTTCTTGTCAGGCAGCTTCAAGGATATCCATGTATTTAATACACTTGCTCGCAGTTTGGCCCACACCAAATGATTGTTTAATCCAAATATCTGAGCAGCAAACTGAGCTGATCCTTCTGGAGAAAGTACAGTCGAACATCCAAGACCTAGTAATGCAGAAAGACAGAACATTGAGCTGTTAATGACACTGCATTCTGATATTCTCAAAATTGTTAGCCAGAAACCTTAAAATGCTACTTTATGATTCTTTATTTAAAGTAGCATCTGGGGAAACTGTTTCCATCTTTACTGCTAGAATGGCAAGTTTATGGTAAGAAGAAAAGTTGTGTTTATTTGTCACGACAGATATTTTACATGTACCATCCTTCTCATCGAATCCACATGCAAAAAAATTTTACTTTTCGCATATACTAGCCCTTTAAATAACCAAGGGAAAAAAAATAAAAATTAAACCAAGAGCAAGATAAAATGCTCCTAAACAGTGTTTGCCAACCTTGTAGCTATTCCATTTATCTTTGTCCTTGAAATAGAATAGTGTTTTGGTTTTTTTTTACTTTATTATTTTGCATGCATGTACCATCAAATCAGATCTGACTCGTAAAGGAGGCGATTATCCTTCCTTTTCCAGCAGAGCATCTGGTGGATTTGAACTGCATGCCTCTGGGATTGCAGTGCAGCTTCTTGCCACTAGACCACCAGAGCTCCCTGAAATAGAATAGTTTTAAAGTAGTTAAAAGTTCAACTCTTTCCTTCTGTGGAGTGGATGGTGACATCAAACCACAGATGACACTACCAGGTTCCTTAAACCATGTAGTAGAGAAATTAGAAGCACTAGACATCTTTAGAGCTAAAGGAAGGGGTATTATTATTAGTAGTAGTAGGTGCTGTGGAGTCGAGTACAACTCGTAGCCAACACTACAAAGAGATCTGAATGTTGTCCTATTCTGTGCCAACGGCATAGTCACTGACACACTTGAACCTACTGCTGCAGTAACTGTTTCCGTCAATTCTGGTTGAGGGATAAGAAACTGAGCTAAAAACAAGAATTCAAAATCTAAGAAACACAACGTAAGATCCCTTTCAATTCTATCTGAGCAATTCCCCCTTCCTCATGGCAGACTTTTCAGTTTTTTGGAAGAAAGTAGGAGAATCTGGACTAGGGGGACAGACTGGACAGAGACCAGGGCATTAACTTGGTGCATATTCTGAGATAACCTGCTTCCCCTATTCAGCTTGAAGACATCATACTGAAAGAAAGCAACCAATCACAAAATGCCAAATATTGTATGGCCTCACATATGCAGAAAAGAACAACTATTAAAAAGGCACTGCCTCCAACTGAAGGCTGAAAAACTAGGGGTAAGGCCCTTAAAATTCTGATTGCTGACCTAATATGAAACACACAAAACCTCCTCTGACTTTACCCTCCCATGTACCCTTTTCTAGGTGTTCCCATGTGGTACAGTAGTTCAAGTGCTCAACTACTAACCAAGGGCTCAGTTGGATTTGAAACGCTAGCTGCTCTGCACCAGAAAGAGGGTGCAGCAGCCTCTGTAAAGATTCACAGCCTTAGAAACTCCATGGACAATTGTCCAGTTGTCTCTAGGTTTAAGGCAGTGGACTTGGGTGGGGTCTTTTTTTTCACCCCTGCAAGGAGATATAAAGAAATGTGCTTCAATAAAATAAGCCAGCCAAGATAACCAAAGTGGAGAACTAGGAAACAAGGTGCCGAAGGCTAGGAAAGGCAAAAAGAAATGGGAGGATGATGGTCAAGGGAAGGTTCTAAGACAACAGTGGTTTGGCCAGCCTACAAAAGTCATCTATATTGCATAGCTTTTTATTGTTGTAAGGTGCCAGGGAGTCAAGTATGACTCATAGCGACTCTATGGACAATGGATTTTAACCTGTCCTATCCTGTGCCATCCTCATCATCTCTGAAACACTTGAGCCCATTTCTGCAGTCCCTGTGTCAATCTATCTCACTGAGGATGTTTTTCACCTTTCCACACTTCCAAGTATGTCCCTCTCCAAGGAATAGAGTAGCTTCTTCATTGCCATCAATTAGGACTCATGGCACTCTCAGGGAAGCCGAATATCAAATTTAATAATAGTAGACCAAATGCTGTTGGGGAAATGAGGGAAGCTTAATACAAGCTGAAGGTCACCTTGTGACACTGGGGCATTCCCTAGGGGTCAACATTGTTCTTCGTTTTGTCAAACTTATCTGTAAAAGACTTCACCATTATCCTTTGTTTTGTACTTCCTTGTTATTTTACTTTTATTATCTTATGATTCTAAATAAATACTCAGAGAAGCATAGCTTGAGGTCTTCAGTCGAGAACTGCTGACCCCCTGTTTTATGCTCTCTGCTCTATCTCATTCCTGGCTGTTTGTCTCTTTATTAATAATTAGAAAATTATTCT